AATGGAACGCGAACGTGAAACGAATAAAAGAATAAAACAATATTACAAAATTTTACCTTCGAGATTTTACCTTCGAATTTTCACAAAATGAGATATGCGCGTAGTTTCGATAATTAACCGAGAAAACGTATTTACATTGAAAATATACATGTATGCGTGTGATGTTGCCACTGACGAACCTATATATTTCCAACTATATTCATTAACTAGCTACACCTTACCTTACGAATGCTATTTGTGCATGAGTTTGACATCTCTTCTCTGTACTTTAGACACATGTCTTGAAGTTTCACAAACAATTTCGAGGATGGTATAATCAACTGGATGTATCAAAACGAGTATATATATTTACATATACATTTCAGGAGAATTATTCGAATTGACTGTTGTTGACGGAAACATAGAAATTCGATAGATATCAATTTTTGTAAAGTAATTAAAATATTTGTCCTCTCTTTTTCTTTCAATTAGATTTCAATAAATTGCGATTAACTTTCGGTTGAAGAATCTTTGCTTTAAAAAAGGGAAAAAAAATATAATAAAATAATTCTCCCCAATTAAATCGGTTTGCCACTCGCGATAACGAACCGGGAAACGAGGAAAACGAGGAACGAAAAATTATTCGTTGCTTCTGATTACTTCGAACGCATTAATTTCACATTCGATTTCTAATTCTATTTCTTGTGTATGCTTGTTCTTTTCAGGCAAAGACGTTGTCGGTGAATACACGATAAAGGAGCCCGGTGGTAACATTAGAACGGTGAAATATCGGGCAGGGAAGAATGGATTTTTCGCCCACGTTTTCAACAGCAATGGCAACGACCACGATGGAGGCCATCACCATTAAGCGGGGCGTCATCATCCGTTACCAAAGATTTTCTCGTTACGTTGCGATTGTTATTGTTGTTGTTGTTGTTATGCAACGTTGATTGTTTCGTTTTTGTTGCACTGATTAAAATAAGGAAAAAAAAAAGAGAGAGAGAGAGAGAGAGAGAGAAAAAGATCGATCGAAACATTTGCCAGTTTAATTCGTTCCAAATCACTTGCCCAATTAGCAGCGGAAAGGCATCCGATCGCAGAAATTCGTAGACCGAATCGAAAACCGATGTACGCCGGGAACCAATGAGCGGCATCGTGATTCCACGGCGAGCCATGTTTTTAACGGAAGTGACGTTTACTGATTGACAATCCGATCGTCACGGACATATGGATCTCCCTTGTGATTACGTAGGCTTACCGGAAACAACAACCGGATGCGATGCGTGTAAATCGATCAGAAGCTTTTCGAAATTAATGAATCTCTCGACTTTAAACAGCGTTACGACCCTTTACGATCGTTTCGAACGAAATAAAACGAAGGTAAGAAAAATATCCTCTTCCGTTCTTCGTCGAAATAATAAAATGATCGATCGAATCGGTCGAATTGTGACTCTGTCCTATCGTAACGTTTTTCAATTAGTTGATCAGTATCAGTGTATTTATTAGTATATTTTCAAAATGAGGCAAATTATCGTTTTATATAATAAAAGAAAAAAAATATATATTATTAACAGCAAGATTCGAACGTCGATATACTCAGTTTATTTCAATGTAAACGTCGCGAAATATTTATAGAGTAATTTGAATGGGAGTAATTAAGCGACATAGGAAGGAATGTCGCGTAAATGGGATCTAATCGCGGCTAAACTCGAAGAACAGGCGGACACGGTTGAAATACCGCTCATTAACGACACGCGAGCCTAAATGTGGCAAATCGATTCGCGAACAGGTAAACGAGACGCACTTAATTGCGTTTAGGCACAATACCTTTCAACCGCAACGTGTCACGGGTATACACGCGTGTGCACACAGCGTTTACATAGTGACGCGAGCGCGCTAATTTCGTTCACCCGTTGTTCCATTCATCAAGTTGAAAACACGCGACAAAAGAATCGCGCAGGAAACTCTTACCATCGGACGAGCTCCCTCGCTCGACCTTTGCATCCGATGCATCCACCCACCGGATCGCTCTATACGTATCCTCGTAAAACGAACGGTTATGACAACAACGACTAGGACGACGACGAAGTTTTTCACGGTTTTTTCCGCCGGTGTCGCGTGCGTTTCCGTACTTAACATTTTCCCGTGCAGCATGAAACTAGATTACGCGGTGCGCAACACCGTCATCAAATGGAAACACAACAATAATCCGGAATAGAGCGATAAAAATGTTGCTGTGTAAACTAGTCGAGAAATGGCAATCCACCGGTGGTAACTGCCGTGTAATCTTCCCGAACGGATATATGAAAAAGAAAAATCAATAAAACATGTGTTGTTATTCGATACAATAAAAATATTATTTGACGCGCACTATGGCAAACCTACTGCTTTTATTTACAACGGATGTTACCGATACCGGGAAGGTTCCGCCAATTTTAATGAAATTTAGTTGGGTGGCGAGAGCCTATATGCGCAATGAATATAATCCGAATTTTAACCGCAGATACATCCATTCACGTTCAACGGTCGGAAAGTTATGGAGAAAAAAAAAAAAAAAAAAAAAAAATGAAGTTCGGTTGAACAAATGGAAATTGAAAGTATCGTGTTTGCCTGTGTATCGCGCGGTTTCCAAAAAAAAAAAAAAAAAAAACGTTAATAGGTCTATCTAGAGCAGATATACTTTTATAATTATAAAAAAAAAAAAAGAGGAAACGCGAAATATAAATAGAACGTCGTCGCATCGTCTCTCCGAAGCGATAAAATAGCAAATAACAGCAGCAGCAAGCATTTCGTTTCTTTCCTGACGCTTTAATTTCATCTATCCATCGTTTCAAAGTCAAGAATATCTTCACCTTAATTCGCAATTGCAGTAATAACGTAATTTCGAAATACCCTTTCATAATTCTCTCGCGTAATAACGAATATATTCGTTAACCCTTTCAGCTATTTTTTTTCTTTCTTCCTTTTTTTTTTTTTTCATTTTTACGTAATTAACAGAAAACTCACCGTTGCAATTAGTAGAAACGTTGGCCAAACGTTTTAAGAACACCCTGTACTGCGAACATACGTATTTCGTTGAAATAGCTTCCATTCTCTGCCGGTAAGCAAAGATATTACCGCGAACCGGTGGTTGCGCCGTATAGAAACGCGGCAGGGATGGTGTGTGGTGGGATAATCTTATACAGGCGCGGAAGAACTCGGGAGGGGCGGTGGGAATTAACGCGGACTGAAAAATTTACGACGCGAGGTATTCAGCAAATTGAGAAACACGGATATAATAATCGTGAGTGAAACGAGTCGAGCTCATAAACGAATAATATTAATTTAATACCCGGCCAAAGTAAGTAAGTACTTATATAATAATGAGATACCGGCGGTGTAACGAGTTTGAATCGAAACGGTGATTTACAAAATTAATTATTCGACGCGCGCCGATTCCTGTAAACGTTACTCGGACGTTATATACGGATTGTATAACGCGAAACACGTTTCGATTCCTTGTTACGCAGGATTCTCTTGCATAATGTAGCCACTATTGTTGAAACGTTGAAATTTTACGAGTTATAAATTACGGAATCCCGATAAATTCTATTGCGTAACAATCAGGAATTTAACGATAGAACGAACGAACGAAGCTTTAAAAATCAATTTTAAATGGTCCATTTCGATTGGTTTTGTCGGACGATAAAATTTCTTAATTTTAAAAAGAGATATGTTTCGTTCAAAATTTAGATAAAATTTGTCTCTCGTCTGTATTTAGATTAATCGATGAATTGCTGCACGGAATAGGACACAGGAATTTAAAATAAACGATAGAACGAGATAGATTCGATAAACCGATCGAGCAGGCGGGAAATATTTTTGTGGTAATTTCGAATTGAAATTTCTCTATTCGTTGGTCGGAATCGAGTCGTGATATTCCTATGATTTCAATAAACGCCCGTCGAGATTAATGGACGATTGTTATCGGTAATTAATAGTGTTCATCCGTATTTGACGGCCCATTGAAATTAGTTATCATTGTTCCCCTCTCTCCTTTGTTTTATCGCTCCTTCGCGCACGGAATTTTCTTTGTCACGGTTATTCCGAAGTTGTTGAATAATCTTCACCGGGCTTCCCCGGATAAAACAGCAACCCAATGAGGCGAAAAGCGGGAGAAAACGAGTAGAATAAGTGTCCTTTGTTTCGGTCTTCCGAGTTGTTCAAATAAAATATCACGGGAATTAATTTCTTTCTGCAAAAGTATCGTTGATATAAGTGTCAGCGTTTGTTTTTAATCTCGTTCGACCATGGATACCAAATGCTTTCGGGACGGGAAAATATTAAGACGTGAGAATTGAAAATAATCTTTTTCCTTGCTTCTTTTATTTCGAAACTTGGTTACAACGTTTTATATATATATATATATATATATATATATATGTGTGTAGATAAATTCAACGAGCTTCCGAGATTAAAGGAGAGAGGGGAAAAAAGCACCAGTTTTCAACTATCTCAAAGTTCACGGGGAAAAAGAAACGAAATATTCGATATGAAAAAGTGATGCAATTAAAATCAAAAAATTGTTTACAACGTATCTTGATACGGCTGTAGAAAAAAAGAGAAAAAAGTAGAATTAAAAAGTATCTCGGGGAAACGAACGGAGATACGAATTATCACATGTACGTGGATGTCGCGAATTCATCGCGTGCATCGCGTTGCCAACTTATATTTTACGCCGATGCGATTCGAGGCTTCGTTAAAACCCTGCCCCACCGTCCGATGTAAGCGCTTTTACCCCGTTGTTCCGTCGAACAAAGGTGAAAATTAAAATCAAAATATTTCAACCGGGGAAAGTTTATTCAGAAACACGCCGTTCCCTCATTTAAATCATAGAGATAATTCGTAGGATGGGGTGTATTGTGCTTTCCTCCTTTCATACGTCGTTGTAAAAATTCGAACTTCATTCCGAGTTATTGTGCCGTGCTTTCTTGCAACTTTAAACCTCTCTTGATTTACCGATTCTTCAGTTTTTTCGAGCTCAGGCGGCCGAAGAAGATTTGTTTATAAAGGAATGAAACGCTTTATTGTTCTCGTTTCACGCGATATCCCCGGACTATGAAACCAACGGGGGGGAGGGGAGCTTACAACGCCGCGTCTCTTCATCGCTTTTAATTCCATTTCATCTCGCGCCCAATCCTCCCCCGCTAATTTTTCTCCTTTTATTTTTTTCACATGTACAACTTCGACTTACAAAAAGAAAAGCAAGGAAAAAAAAGCGAGAGAGAGAAAGAGAGGGAGAAAAAGAAAATGTATCGAAATGTCGTACAATAAATCGAAACAGCTACCCGTAAACTTTAGACACGCGTCTCGCTCGTCAAATGCAACCCCACAGTCTCGAACGATTCGAGGAAGTACGATTTCCGATTTATGAAGTTTTCCAGATTCTCTCTCTTTACCTTTCGCCACCAACAACGAAACTTTGACCTGAAATTTTCGAAACGGTTTTATTGTGAACGATAGCGTAAACGAACGCTGGCAAGCTTAAACTTTCGAAATAAAAATAGTAATAGGTCAACGTATAGAAAGATGTACGAAGAATGACGAATACGGAGGCAATGGATTCGTGAAAAAGGATTCGAAGGATTCGAATTTGAAGAAAATACGATTTCGAGGCTGTTTCGTTTTCCTCCTTCCTTTTTGCACCAGATTTATCGAACTAATTAGACGATAATCACGGGCGGAAATTGCGAAGCGCAATAAACAAAGAGGGTATTTAATCGTGCTCGTTGATGTGAAATTGTTTAATTTTATCATTTAATTAGAAATCTCTATTTGTGCATCGTGGAAAATTAAAACGGCGGAACGAAAGCTTTATCGAATGTTAATATCGCCCTTTTGAAACTATGCAGCTCTCTCTTTCTCTGCAAAACAAATTTTAATATTTTAATAATAATCTGAAACGACGCGCTTACGTCAAATATACGAAAGTGGTTACTTCCATTATTGAGAATTCCATTTTACGATTTAATATTTCCACGTTTTATACGAATAT